GTGAAGTCTTTTTCTTATCAAAGTCTTCTGTCTTACTCTGGAGTCTCTTAAGCCCCTGGGATCCCTCTGAAACCCCCTTGAGTTAGGGTTAAGCACTCGCCTGGCTTTCATGTGGGGGCTGGGGATCTGAACATAGCTTCTCAGGCTTGAGCAACTTTACCAATCCTGCCTATCTCTTGTTCACCAGTGGCTTTCCAATGTCCAGCTTTGGCCCACCAAAACTTACAACTATGAATCTCATGGCTTAATTTATACACTTTATGACCAATAACCACGCTTTATGAGCACTGGATCATGCATCTATAAACAGATACCTCTCATATCAGGGCAAAGTATCCTAATGCTTTCATATTGAAAATGTGAAACAAAATGAGGTCGAGAGAAATTTACACTCCATGAAGCTCAGAGAACTGACCTTAACCCAGGCTTTGCGCTTGGCATACTGTGCTTCCGAGTCACCACACACACCCCTAGGACTCTGCAAAACTAAAGTTTAAAGTCACCGCCTTCTGAACGAATGCACATTAAGGTACACTAAGAAAAACAACAACAAAAAGAGTTTACCTGTTTTGTAAACTCTTTTATTTCATCCGAGCCACACATACCAGTAAAAAATAACACCCCCTTTAAAAAAAAAAAAAGAATGCTACCTTTTCCACAGCATTTTATTTTAAATAAAACTTCAAGTACTTTTACATAGATACAAAAAAACTCTGATCTATTTGCCTCCAACAGGCCACAACACACAGTAGATAAACACAGTGGTTACAAATGTCTTTTAAATTTATTTCTGAGGCAAGGCAGATGGGAAGGAAGTGTCTCTATGAAAAAATACTGTGTGTGTAGGAAATTGTCACGATTTTATTCCACATGGATACAAATGATTATACTTTAATTTAGGCCCTGGTGGCTTAAAATTATATAACAAAATAGAAAAATGGAAAACTACTATCCCCTACACCCTGTTTCAAAGGCAGGCACTACCAAGATTCGGGAGACGCCACAGTGTTGGTAGAGGATAATTGCTGTACAGGCTGGAGAGCTGTAATTACCTTCGGATAAATGCTACAGTCCTTCTAAGGCATAAACAATAATGTCTCCAAACAATATATACACATAATACATATTAAAACAAGACTCAATATAAACAATAATGAACAATATATACACATCAATTTCCACTGGCTTGAAATACACTTTACCTACACAAGTGATGCGCAACATATATATATGTATATATAAATGTAATTGAACTCTACAGTAAAGTTTATTTTTGGTGCTTTCAGAGCACATCAGTGTAAACAGTTTAACTTGGCTTTGTTTTATATTTTAAAACATTCCTTGTTGTAGTTTCAAGATTTAAAGCAATTTTCTAGTTCTTCCTTTTCACAGAAAACGAAGATTCTGGATGTGGTTTAATCATAAATAATTCATAAAATTAAATACATTCACTAAAAAATAAACTACAAAGTAAAAAAATGAAAAATAGATATTTATTGAGAGGGAAAGGAGAACCATTCCCCACGTTAGAGCTCTGGTGTTGGCTATTCAGTGCGATCTGATAGTTTAATTGCTATTGCACTATACCACCCTTTTCTTTGAACATTCTTTGGGTGTGCTTCCCTGTTCTACCTAAGTTAGCTGATAAATCACATAAACCAGTGACCAACGGTCTTGGCTGGAGGAGTGAAGCCTCTCAAAATGGTGTCATTCTTCTCACCTTTTTTAA